GTCGCATGATTTGAAATGCGTGCTGGCAGTCGTGATATGAACAGAAAAACATGAGTGTGAGCGTGCAATGTACAACAACGACGTGTCAATGTGTCAATGCGTCAACGTGTGCGGGTAAATGAGCGTGGACGGTGAACATGCTTGCTGGAGCAATGACAGTCATGTTTTCAGTCGTGGCTGTGCAGGGTGTAGTGACTCAGATAAGAGCGTCGCTTGACGACTTGAGTCATCTCAAACGTCACGAATGACAGTGCATGATTCAAAATCGCAACAACGGATGGGTGTCGTGGTATGTAGCTTGACACAGCCCCACAACCAGACGGGAAGCGCTCAGAACCGCAACGGCATTGTTCACAAGTGCACATCACGTCACATGCACATCCACTTCGCCTCGGGGCAAGCCACTTGCACTGGTGATGGTAATCACGGTGAAGATAGCCGTGATGCTGTTGATGTGACATGGCCTTCAAACTCACCGGGTATCCGAGGACGTCTGCATCGACGCGTTCGACACCAATGATGTCGCTCTTTGCAATGCGGTCAATCGCAGGCTCATCTGTACACGCGTTGATGTTGGTGTTGATGTTGGTGGCGGGGGCAGCAGTCGTAGCAGTTATCGAGGAAGTTGTTTGTCGTGGTGGTGGGCATGGTGAGTTGCAATGCAGGAGGAACACCAGCAAAGAGCAGAGAAATAGTCAGACAACAAAGAATAGAGCATGTGGATTGTAAACAGCGGAGGAATGCGTTTCCATCAGGTTGAAGACACGTGCCAACGCGCGACACGATAGTGAGCCACGCGGGTAACTGCCACTGTAACCACTCCCATTCCTTGCCTCTTGCCCTCCCTTTCTTTTCATCACACCTTGGGACTTGTGGTACGAGAGATACACTGGGGAGAGGCGGAAGTAGCGTCGCTTCATGTTCTTGAGACCGTTGACAGACATTCCCATCACCGACGCAACCTTGCGCCCCTGCCCACGCTTGATGAGGAATCTTTGCGCAACAACACGTGCATGCGTACAAATTCGGAGGGGAGGGGAGAGAAACGTGAGATGCATACGTGTGCATGTTGATGTTGATGTTGATGTTGATGTTGATGTTGATGCTAATGTTGATGTTGTTTGTTGATGTTGTTGAGGATGTTGATGCTGATGTTGATGTTGATGTTGTTGTGGATGTTGTTGTTGTTGATGTTGTTGATGTGCGTACTGCTTAAGTACTTGCCCATATTGTCTCCCCCCCCCCCCACAAAACATGCATGTGGACCAGCACTTCATAGAACGGTAGCAACGCACCCCTCCTTGATGACCCGGTCGTCGTCAGGAATGTCGACGGCAGCATACGCCGGCGGCACCGCATTGGGCGACTGATAGCGATGATGATGATGATGATGATGATGATGATGATGATGATGATGATGATGATGATGATGATGATGACGGAAGGATGGCGCTACGCAGGTACAAACAATCATACAAACAGGTGCACACACAGGCCCATACGCACACGTACCGTTGAAGGCTTGCAGGAGATTTTGTCGAGGAAGATTCTGATTCTGTTTCTGTGCGCGGCGTCGACATTGGAAAGGAGATCGCGCATAAAATCCTCTTTGACCATCCTACGCACACACGCACACACACATGCACATGCACACGAGCACAAACACACGTTCACACACATACAAACACGCACACACACGCACACATGTATACAGACATACACACACATGCACATATGTATACACATACACAAACACGCGCAGGGGTAGCAACATGCTGTGAGGTGATATCCTGATTGCCGTGTCACGCTTGCTTCTCTCACATCTCCACACCTGAATACAAGCATGCAAACACACACACGCATACGCACATACGCACATGTACACAAATGTACACACCTGTCACCGCCGAGGTTGCCGAGAGTCTGGATGGCCTTCGAGATGAGGACCAGGGTGCGACGTACACCTGTTGATGGGGGGCGGGGTGACGGTGTGTGTGGTGGTATTGAAGTGAGGGTGATGCACAGGGATGTACGTGCACGTGCATACACACAGACATACACACATACACATACACACACGCACATGTGCGGTACCTGACGAAGGCTGCGAGTGGCAGAGGCCGAAGAGATGCGGGTTCTAACAGCAGCAACAACAACAACAACAGCAACAACCGAGGCGCACGTGTCATTGTGAGCACATGCGCAGTGAAATGGAGCGCGTGCAGAGAGTACAGAGGACTCGATGCAGTCGCGCCACAGCGGCAAAACACACACGCACACGCACGCACACACACACACACACGCACACACGCCGATCGTGCTGGCACACGCACACACACATACATACATACGCAAGGCTTCCATCGTCGTATGCATCAGCAGTGAACAAACCAGGATGGCGGGGGCGATGAAGCGAAGAAACGCAAATCCGCTCACAGCCGTCCAGCGCACATTGTCTCCCTCGTCTGCACACACACACACACACACACACACACACACA